TTGTCGACTCGATAGTTGTCGACTCGATAACCGGCCCGTCGTGAAGCCTCCGCAGGAGATGAGTTCCTGTTTTCCTGGGTGGGAAGTTGAATAATGAGCGATTGGTCGAAAACTGAGTCGCAAAAGTCAGTGGCCGCTTGAGAGTTCACGAACACAGTTAGAGCGACAGTGAAGGTGTTGTGAGGTCTTCTTTCTTCGCGGCGAAAGATCTCCTCAATAGGGGGCCAGGCCGACTTGGATTTTATGGTAGCTGCAATGCAGTTCCAGGCTTCGACACTAATGTCGCGCACACGCACACTTTGCGGAGGCGACCGTGAAATAGAAATAGCGCGATCGCAACCAGCAGCCTCTACGGCACCCTCCAATGCGTCTGTGCTATACCCCGCGGGTAACGGGTACAAGGCTACCTGGAATATCACGGGGTTGGTTGGCTGACAAACGACGTACGACGCGTGAGGTATCGAGTAAGATTCGAGTCCCTTCTCTCATTTTATCCGGTCGAAAAATTTGCCCCATGGCTGTCGAGGAAGTCACAACCAAACCAGACAACAAGGAAGCCGCCGAGAAGCCGGTCGTCGAGAAGCCGGTCGCCGAGGAAAAGAAACCTGCAGCCGAACCCAGCCCGGCCCAGGAACTAGCGGCAACCAACGAACCCACAGCCAATGAGGACGCCGGAGGAGAAGAAGAAGTCACCAAGGGCGACTGGAACCTTCCTGAAGTAAGGTTTATATAAACTCGCACATCTTCGTATAGATGTGTGTGGGCACACACATCAACACGGGTGTTGACACTCGTGAGTGTCAACACCCGTGTTTACCGTGTTTGCACACAATGTGTTTAAGCGCGCTTGAATGTTTGGTATTTAGGTTAAGTTGAAGGAAGTGCAAGTGGTGACTGGTGAGGAGGATGAAGAAGAATTTTGGAAGTGTCGTGCTAAGTTGTATAGGTGGAGAGATGCGGAATGGAAAGAGAGAGGTCTCGGGGATGCCAAGTTATTGAAGGACAAGGAGGGCAAAGTCCGCTTCCTTTTACGTCAGGAGAAGACGGGAAAGGTGGCAGCGAATCATTATGTTATCCCTAAGGATGGAAATTGCACCTTGACTCCGAATGCCGGGTCGGATAAGATATGGGTATGGAGCGTATTGGATTGTGCTGAGGAGGAACCGGTGGCCGAAAGGTTTGGTTTAAGGTTCGGAACGGTGGAGAATGCGGCGCTTTTCAAACAGAAATTCGAAGAAGCTGGAAATCTTAATGTTAAGCTCATGGACGATGGGGCATTCGGTAAAAATTAACTCGACTAATGACCAACAAAACACCCACCCACTAGAACCGCTAACCGGAAAAAAAAACCTCTAGTGGAGCAACACACGGTCTGCACCCAGACCGGTTGCTCTGAATATACTCACGGCCGTGCCAAAGTTTTCCACATGTACTTTTCTATGTCAACTTTCATGACACGGTGAACTTTCACGCCTCTGCAACTGGGTGCGATGGTGGTCTGCGATGTAGGTAGGATTCACGATAAACGGTTTTTTGCATATATCAACTGAGAAGAAAGTTTGACATTGAGAAGGAAGTTTAGAACGAAGTTTAGAACGAAGTTTAGAAACAGTGGCAGTCGGAACAACAACAGTTAGAAACGCTACAGTTAGAAGGGGGCGAAGGGAGCATTAGCAGAGAGAACATTAGGAGAGAGAACATTAGGAGAGAGAACAGTAGGAGAGATAGGAGTAGGATATGAGTAGAATTAACCAGCCGAAGAACCAAATTCGTTTGACGAATGTATCGATAGTTCGTTTGCGTGATGGGCCAAACACGTTTGAGTTGGCATGCTACCCGAACAAGGTGAAGGACTGGCGTCAGGGGAAGGAGACAGACCTGAGTGAGGTGTTGCAGAGTGACAAGATATTTAGTTGCGTGGGTAAAGGTCAGTTTGCGCGTGATGCGGAGTTGATAGGAAGTTTTGGGACAAGTGATTTTTACGCTTGTGTTAAGCAGATTTTGGCACAAGGTACGATTCAATTGAGTACCCGTGAGCGTATGGTTCAGCAGCAGCAGTTCCAGAAGGAGGTGTACGTATTAACTGCGCCTCGTCTGTTGCCTTTGAAGGCGACTTTGGCCCTGTCTGCGGAAACNGTTGAATCTTGCGCGAAGAAGATAGGGTGTGTGCCGAAGA